CAAACAGCTTACTTACTGCTGTCAAGACCTGTTAAACAGAACTCTAAACTGTTGACAAATCCTTAAACTCAATCACACAGTCTGTGTGTGTACACAGTCACCTGCACATAATGTCCACTCTCTACAGTCAAATTAGCTGCTGTATGTCACAATAGCTTCAACTCAGAATCCTAAATCAAATGATATGAACGACATATAATGAACAATTGAGGAATATGACAGTCAGCTATTAGTAAGCCTTGCTGTGATTAAATCCAAATCGTATAGAGATCAAATAAAAAATTTGAGAAAAAGGAATTGAGCGGTTTAGTAAACCGGACAGATCATGAACAAGAATTATTAAGTACTAAACCGATCAAGAAGAAATCTAATCCTGACACAAATCCGATCAAGGGTTGATCGGTTTACAAGAATACCGGATAATCTGAGATGGAAAACTTACCTGCTAAACGAATCAAAGCCCTAATCCGGTCAAGTGGTGACCGGTGTAGATGAGTACCGCTTGAAACATGTCCGGTGAAGGATGAATACCGCTTGACAAATAAACCTTACCTCTTATCTCCATGATGAACAATCCGATTGAGAAACCTTAGATTTCTTCCTCCGTTCAATCAACAGTGTTCAATATTGAAGATGTAGGCGGACTAAGAATCCGTTCAAAGTTGGGCTAAAAAAAATGGACTTAAGCCCAAACAAGAGAATTTAAGTGATGGGAGGGCTTTGGACGGTTTAACAACATTTAACAAAGCAAAAGAAAATAAAAGATTAAAACAATCAAAAACATAAAAACAAAAGGAAATTTAAGAGAAATTGGATCAAAAACACTGGTTTTTAAAAAAATTCAAGAACACGAAAAAAATTGAAAAACACAAAAACCGATTAAATCTTGATTAAAATTGATCAAAACATAAAAGTTTGTGAATAACAAAGATCCACAATGCAATTTCGAACATATTGATCATGTTTTTAACACCAAAACACAAGATTTTATGAGAAAATCGGATCAAAATCAAAGAAAAACTCAAGAACACGAAGAACACGAAAAAAAAAAAAATTCAGAAATTAAAATCACTTATCTTTCAAATTCTTCATCCGATTTCTTGCATTCCAGCTTTGATACCAATTGTGTGTCCACAATCACTGATCAATCTTCATATTAAGCTTCCTTCAATGGCAGATTCATAGATTTATCATTAAGAACACAATGAACACTTTATGAATATTGAGAGGAAAAGTCAATCCTCTCAATTCTGGTCAAACCTTCTATTAATCTGAATATTACAATTAGCTCCTCTCTCTTCTAATTACAAA